GCCACAGTCTAAGGAAAGCCAGGAGGCTCTTCATAACCACAGGGCCTCTCCAAGCCACTGAGGCCAACTCGGGGCTTCCAAGAGGAGACAGTGAGTGTGTGGATTCCCAAGGAGGAGACGGTGGAGGCCAGAATGCACACTTGCTGAGCATCCACCCTAGGCTGGACACTGACGTTCAGGAAGGTTGTGCGACTTCCCCAAGGTCATCCAGCTGATGCGGTCAAAGCCAGAAAGAACTGAGACCCACACGTGGCTAACCCTGAAACCTGTCTCCTGTCTGCTCCATGGCCCTGGGTTTCTAGAGAACAAGAAAAACCAGAGACATGATGGTGCCCAAAGGAACCAAGCTGTAGGGATTCCAGCTCTGAAACGCCACCATGCTCCCTCTAATTTTTTAGACCCTGTGTCAGCTCAGCCCGTTTCCAGGTCTTTACGTGGGCAGAATGAAAAGTGCCTACTGTGTGTCTGACCAGCAAGCGTATTTATCATTATGAAATGATACTCATGCCCTCCTATTCTAGATGAATACTGTCAAACATGCAAAAAGTAGAAGGTAAATTACTCATCTATGGGGTTCGAAGTCAAGCCAGTCCCTAAGCCCTGGGATTCCAGGCACAGTCGCCCTGTTTGCCTTTAGGCTGGGTCTGGAACCACATCTCGGCCTCCCATGCAGTCCCAGCCTGCAGAGCATGGCATCTTAGCAACATGGACCACCACGGCGGGGCCTCCACGCTTTTAAGTTTTTAATGGCTCTCCATACCCATAGGGGGCAGCATTCCCCACACGGGGATCCAGGATCACCTGCGTTAGTATCCTCTTAGGAGCATCTTGTAAAAGGCAGATTCCTGGGCTAGCCCATGGCATGGTGGTTGAAGCAGTTGGATCCCACATAGCAGACTGCGTGGTTCGAATTCTGGACCTGAAGGCTTGAAAAACATGCCGGTGTGTGTGTATGCATAATCAAAATCCCGCAAGGAGGAAGGACTGTCACGTGGCCATCCTCCCTGGGGGTGGGGGTGAGGGGTGATCCTGCTGTCTGTCTCTACCAAGTGCACACACCCTATAGCAAAAACCAAGCAAACAAACAAACAAACAAACAAACAAACAAAACCAACCAATGTGATTCTGCTGGGCAACGACATTTGGGCACCACTACCACGAGTCTCTCCTTCAGTCATTCTCCAGGTGGTCCGAGGAACCTTCCTGAAACTTCCTCTCCTCACTGCAAACACAACCCAGTCCCAAATCCTAACCCCAGCTTCCATTCTGGCCCACATATTCCTTTTTCTTTTTCTTTTTCTCTTTCTCTTTGTCTTCCCTCCCTCCCTCCCTTCCTCCCTTCCTTCCTTCCACATGAGGTTTTTGCTATAGGGTGCATGCTCCCTTCTCCTTCTTTCTCCTCCCGGGATCTTGGGCACATGCACATGCACCTGGTGTGAGTTTAAGCCACCAAGTCTGGGACTCAACCTGCGGCTGACTACATGGGAGTCCAGCGACACAGCCATTACGCTAACTGCTGGTCCCTGGCCCACACATTTCTGCATTAGCCCATCCCTTCCCTGCTGTGCGTGAACATTACCAGTCCATCAACACTCCTCGCCTGTTTGCACTTTCCTCACTCTCAGGAATATCCTTCCTTGGCCCATCCTTCAAGCTTCTCTTCATCCATCTGCTCCCGAACTCCATGGGAGGTAAGTTCACATATGCAACAGGGCATGGCAGGGGACTTGGAACGGGCCCTGAGCCCACTGAGTGGCAGTCAGAGCTCACAGAATGTTCAAGACTGAGGATGGACATCTGACAGACTGTCCCTCAGTCAGCTCCTCATGTAGCTCAGACTTAGGAGGAGGAGACCTCCCAGCACAGAAACAAACACTTTCAAGGCAGTGACACGTCAGCCTGAAGGCTGTTCTTGGAACCTGGGGGCAGGCGCTGGCAACGTCGGTGAGGAAACCCAGAGGGTGCTTTCTCAAACGTTCCTGCAAGACCTGCGTGTCCCAAAGATTTGCACGAATGGTCTGCCACCATCTTCTTCCCCATGTTCTTCCTGTCCAGGCGATGCTCACATACGGCATAAGTGGAAGCCACTCTAGGGTGACCTCTGCCCCTTAGTTTTGATGGGCCAGTCCTGGTTCATGTCTGCCATCCTGAGTAATTACTGTCAAGAGCATCTATTTATCTATCAACCAATCAATAGTGTCTCTTTCTATACACAGGTATATCGATATATATAAAATACACAAGTATATGCATTATAGAAAATACATAGGTGAAAATATATAAAACATATATGACAAATAATATGTAAATTATAGAATTACCTCAGCCAGGCAATGTACAATAGCTCACTGGAAATACCTTTCAGGTTTTTCAATTTAAAATATACCTGTTCTTGAAGTAAAGATTTACCACCCTGAAGCCTTCCTTAGTTTTTGCATGTGTATGAAAAACTGACTATGACTTCAGAATTTACTCTGGAGCTTGAAGGAACCTCAGTTTACTCAGCTTTGGCCTAAAATTATTATTTTTTTTTTTTGAGAGATTTTTGCTATAGGGCGCGTGCACTCACCGATTCTAGATGAATACTGTCAAACATGCAAAAAGTAGAAGGTAAATTACTCATCTATGGGGTTCGAAGTCAAGCCAGTCCCTAAGCCCTGGGATTCCAGGCACAGTCGCCCTGTTTGCCTTTAGGCTGGGTCTGGAACCACATCTCGGCCTCCCATGCAGTCCCAGCCTGCAGAGCATGGCATCTTAGCAACATGGACCACCACGGCGGGGCCTCCACGCTTTTAAGTTTTTAATGGCTCTCCATACCCATAGGGGGCAGCATTCCCCACACGGGGATCCAGGATCACCTGCGTTAGTATCCTCTTAGGAGCATCTTGTAAAAGGCAGATTCCTGGGCTAGCCCATGGCATGGTGGTTGAAGCAGTTGGATCCCACATAGCAGACTGCGTGGTTCGAATTCTGGACCTGAAGGCTTGAAAAACATGCCGGTGTGTGTGTATGCATAATCAAAATCCCGCAAGGAGGAAGGACTGTCACGTGGCCATCCTCCCTGGGGGTGGGGGTGAGGGGTGATCCTGCTGTCTGTCTCTACCAAGTGCACACACCCTATAGCAAAAACCAAGCAAACAAACAAACAAACAAACAAACAAACAAAACCAACCAATGTGATTCTGCTGGGCAACGACATTTGGGCACCACTACCACGAGTCTCTCCTTCAGTCATTCTCCAGGTGGTCCGAGGAACCTTCCTGAAACTTCCTCTCCTCACTGCAAACACAACCCAGTCCCAAATCCTAACCCCAGCTTCCATTCTGGCCCACATATTCCTTTTTCTTTTTCTTTTTCTCTTTCTCTTTGTCTTCCCTCCCTCCCTCCCTTCCTCCCTTCCTTCCTTCCTTCCTAGGTTTTTGCTATAGGGTGCATGCTCCCTTCTCCTTCTTTCTCCTCCCGGGATCTTGGGCACATGCACATGCACCTGGTGTGAGTTTAAGCCACCAAGTCTGGGACTCAAACTGCGGCTGACTACATGGGAGTCCAGCGACACAGCCATTACGCTAACTGCTGGTCCCTGGCCCACACATTTCTGCATTAGCCCATCCCTTCCCTGCTGTGCGTGAACATTACCAGTCCATCAACACTCCTCGCCTGTTTGCACTTTCCTCACTCTCAGGAATATCCTTCCTTGGCCCATCCTTCAAGCTTCTCTTCATCCATCTGCTCCCGAACTCCATGGGAGGTAAGTTCACATATGCAACAGGGCATGGCAGGGGACTTGGAACGGGCCCTGAGCCCACTGAGTGGCAGTCAGAGCTCACAGAATGTTCAAGACTGAGGATGGACATCTGACAGACTGTCCCTCAGTCAGCTCCTCATGTAGCTCAGA